GTTTTCAGATTTTTGGATCCAAAATCGAGGGGTAGCTTCTATTCGGGGGTAGCTTCTATTCGGTAATATACGGTATTACTTATCTGTTATTGCTTCCCATGCTTAGCAAACCAATTGAAATATTCAAATCTCTTTCCTTAGTTTATATTCTCGTGATATTTAAAATAACAATATATCCGTACATTTAGAATTTTCTTCCAGCTTATCTATATATTCATCCATTAGCGGTCCCAAGATAAATCTAATCGTCATCTCAGCAGCTTTCTTATAACAATTGAATGCTTTAAGCTCATCCTTTTTAACACCTTGGCTGATATTAGATACAGTCAGACCTCCCTAAATGCATATTCCCTAAACGCATAGTCTATGAAAGACCTTTCTAAATGCATAGCCTTATTTGGATGATGCTTATAGATTTTTACTATGGCTATGCATTTAGAGAGGCCTGACTGTATTGAATGAATGCATCATATTCTTTTCATAACGTTATCCAACATCATTCAACTTGTATTATCATAATTAATTAATCAAATTAATTTTTCTTATCGTTATCAATTGCATAACTATCATTAATTTCTTTAACGATCGATATAACTTTTATTAATTAAAATACTATCTATATATTTATACAAACAAGTATAACCGACCATCGATTAAAACTTTTGGAAGCAACCGTTGAATGATTATCGTTATCAACTTATCTGGTTTAACCAATCAAATTATTTAGCTATGGAAATTCATGTGATCGTAAGAAATAAACTCGATACGGTATATCATCATTAGCTAATTTTATGTTACACGCGCATATTAAAATTCGGCGGTGGCTTAGGACTATACCCAGAAGTTAATAAACCTATCGTAACGTATAATGAAATCAAAGTTGAGAGAAGAATGTCAGACATTTTAACATCCGAAAATCATTCAGAACGTATACTTTATGATATCGATGTAGCTGCTATTTGGAAGCCTGATGATGAATTGGCTGATCATGATGATTCCCGAGTTAACACGTATACTAAAACTAATGAAAATCCGTCTTATGCACAATTCCCAAGACGTGTTTTCAAACAAGTTACATACCGTCTGAAACGTAGCTTAGAAGGGCTAATAATTTCTACAACTGTTCCACCGGCACTTCTACAAGAATGTCCTGAGGCAACGAGTGAATGGCTAATGCAATTATCGCCAGACGGGAGGTATCTCGCAGTTTTGCAGGAACACAAGATCGAAATTCGAACTAGTGAAAGTGGGTTTGAAAAAAATCATGCCATTTACAATTCAAAACGTGACACTTTTTCTAAGTGGAGACGTCTCGTTTGGAGTTTAGATTCTAAAATTATAGCTGCTACGAGAAGTGATGGGACAATTGAAATCATCAATGAGGATGGACAATTAGTTTGCATGATTATTTCTAGCTCTAATGTTAATTCAGATATGGAAAGAGATTCCCAAGGTGGTCAAAGTTTTTTTCTCGAACCAGTTTCTTTTATATCATTTGTGGATCCTAAACGCGGATCAAACAAACCATTATATTATGAAGGCCATGTTTACCAATACGAGTTGATTGTAATCACTTATGATAGCGTTCTTCGTAGTTATTTACTTAATACTATTGAATCTGTTACTACTTTGGATGGTAATGAAACTATATCGCGACGAGCAAAAGTTAACATTACTTATTCACGCGAAGGAGCTTATGATCCAGGGTTCTTTGTTTTTTATCACAAAATTTCTTTTAAACAATGGCTTTCTACGGTTGTTTGCGGTGCTGTAGTTACTTTAAACGGTTCATTGCTTTGCCTTGGTGGGAAACCTAACAGTGAAGATGAAAATGATATATTCTCACCTTCTGTTATATGTTTGATGTTGTTACCAGATCGTCCTTTTTATCGTAAACTCGAGTTAGAAGGAATGGAAAATGAATCTATAGAAGACATATCGGATTTAAGTCAGAGTACTGTTGATGATAATGGATTCTTTTCTCGACTAAAAAATGTGTTTGCAACTTGGCGTAAAGTGAATAAAAGCTTCACTGATGAAATAGTTTACAGTATGATACCGTCACCTGATAAACGATATCTATTAACATTAGATTTTTCAGGAACAGTCAGCCTTTGGAAAATATCTATGTCTAATGGGGTTGCATGTGACCAATCGTGGGATCAATCTCATCTAAATTATTTTGCTAGGGGAAAAGAATACCAAAATTTATCCTTTGAAGAATTTCAAGATGAAATTTTTGAAATTGAGAATGATGGTGGTGATGTATCTGGAGTCCCCGGATTAGATAATGGAAAAATTTTATCAATAGGATGGTGGACAAGTAATGCTTTTATTCTAGGATTTCAAAATGGTTCGGTTATTATTGCTAGTCTCCCAGATATGCGTAATATATTAGGCGACTCTCCTGAAACTTTTAAATCTTGCTGTGAGATAACTTGTCAATGTAATAATTATTTTTTGGTTATTGAACATGAAATCAAATCAATTAGAGCTCGTGTTCATGGTGATAACATAATATCATATTCAAGGGCACAGGAAGAAGGTGAAACGGAAGATGATGACTTTGAAGATTCCACATCACAAATGAGTAGATTGATATCTGCAATTACAAATTCCTTGCATTATATAACGGACACCTTTTTGTGGCATTTTGATAATGATTCTTCAACTATACGTGGTAGATTTATTACAATATCAAAAAGGACATTTCGCCTTAATCGGATCTCTAAAATTCAACCTCAAGATTTACTCTCTCGCAAAATTAATGCTCTTGAATATGATGATGCATTGGTAATTGCCAAAAACTATAACCTTGACACAGATATAATATATCAAGCCCGCTGGAAAGATGCAGAAGTTTCTGAGGCAGCTATTCACGATAATCTCGACAAAATTCATGATAAAGAATGGGTGTTATGCGCTTGTTTCGATAGTATAACCAAAAATCCTCATATGATTCGACTTTTGTTATGCTATGGATTGGACCATACAGATATTTTGGATGAGATTTTAAATAATAATAATGTATCTTCTACTGATAGTTTGATCAACAAGAAACTGCGAGAACATCCTTTGGAAACTGATTCAGAGGTTCAAAAATTTTTGAATAACATTGAATTGTCAGAAAAACAAAAAGCTATTTGCCGATGTCGGTATTATTTCCTAAAGTATTTAGATAGGTTATCTACATATGAACGAATTATTGAAGAGAAAACTAGACGGGATATCGAAAATGGTTCCATGGACTCATCAGAGGAAAATGGGGGCTGGATCACATTCATAGACTATAGTACGACATTTGCCGATGATTATGCAATATTTCGCGATGTGCACATCGCCGCACAAGCAATGGATTTCGCTGCCGATGAATTCTTTGATGGGTTGAGTATTCTGTTTACACGTCATGGAAATGAGATGTCGCCTTATCGATTTACTATTCTTGAGCAAATTCCTGAAACGGCTGATCCTGATGACTATGAATCTTTCTTACCAAGAGTTGGGTCAAATGATGGTGCTGAACCCTCAGAATGTTTATGGCATCAAGAACCATGGAGAGTTTATGATTGGGTTGAAAATCCTATATTGAAGAAACAAATATTACAAGAGGAGCCAGAGGAATGGGACTTTGATGGTATTTTAATGAAATCGGTTCCATATCCTGCTTCCTCCTCTTATATAACACAGTGGTATGTTGATCGTGCACATAAGATTGACAGCTCTTCGGGACAAGTAGATAAAGCCTTATCTCTCGTCCGCTACGGTATTAAGAAAAATGTAAAAAATTTAGAAACTTTAGAAGAAGATCTTCATATGCTGTCACAACTTGTTTATAACTGTTATCCATCATCAAACGACAGAATAACCATGACATTGGATGAATTTGAATCTCTAACAGAAGAAGAAATTATCAAAACTTTCTTGCGGCAAACTGACGAAACACGAATTGTAAACGATGTCAGGCTTTATATAATACCATTTCTTAAACTTTTACCTGAACGCCGTGCGCGAAAAGCAGAGTTCTCAGATAAAAATGATAAAAAATATTTACATCCAACAGATTTATTATACAAATATATATTAGATCTTTCATCGTCTCATTTGGATTGGTGCTGCCTTTTTTTTGAAGCTTCTAAGCCAACATTAACAGCCGAGGAGCGCGTTATAACATCTGATGAAGACTTAGCTAAGGTAGTGCTTGCTTGTCTATACGGAAATACAAGTATTGATGATCTGAATATTCAAACGCGTATTTTTGAATGTCTTCCAACTCTTGATTCGGACTCTTCAGAAACCAATGTTACCCATTCAGACTCTGGTGTAGATATTAATTTATTGCAAACATATACACCTCATGATTTTCTACTTATATTTAAGACAAAGGACAAAAAACAACTTCAAAAAATTATTAATTCGCTCGAAATTCATATAAACGCTGCAAAAATCCTTGCACGCTACAATAACACAATATCTTTACGGTGGTTCCTTCAAAGTGCAAAAAATTATACTATGCAAAAACAATTATGTATTCAATTAACAAGAAGAGTAAGTAATGATTCTGAAATTGATGGGGAGCACTTTGAAAATGACAATGAGTGGATTCAATTGTTAGAAGAAATGAAGATGTTACAGGGAGATGGTAAAGGTGTCTTAGGAGAAATATCTATTGAAGGAATTTATGAATATTTCATATCTGGACTTTTGAGCTGTGGAAGTATCCTTTGATAATATAGTGAATAATCCTATTCAAATTACGCTACTAACTTTTGTGAAAAGCCAAAATATTTTTAATAGTCATCCATAACCTTTTAATTTATAGAATTTAGATTGGCACGTGAAATCCTTTTACCAACCGATAAACCACATCCTTTAGAAATGGATAAGGCAGAAAAACTAGTTATCAATGCATCTAGAGAATTTTTCGATAACGCAGCGTCAGGAAATATGAATCATGGTTACATGAAAATGGCATATGAATGGTATTACTTTTTTCTTTATAGCAAGAGATAAGGCCATGTTCAATTTATTATGCAATATATCAGTGAAAAAATGGCCACGTCTCATTCATTGTTGTATTAATATTATTAAATTGATATGAATAATAATAAGTGATTCTATTTTACAGCCTCCAAATATTACCGATATCGGACACTATAACATCAGAACTTGAATTTATTGAGGCGACACATACGTTGTCAGAAAAGAAAATTGGCTATCAACCTGGAGTACCAATACATCCAATGCAATTACGCCTTTCATCAAATCGATTGGACTTTATAGATCGTTTGTTAAGCACATATGAAGATGCTTACCTTGACCCAAAATCAATTATAAAGCTTTCAAAGAAGCTCGGTTATCAAAAGGACAAAGTTGTTGAAGTTAAAGTAATGGCCATGCTCGCAGATGCTGCATTACGTGATAATAATTTTACCACTGCATATAGCACGTGTATCGATTTAGTGAATGTTGTCAAGACTTTTGCGAGTGGTAATAAAAGTGGCAATAAAAATGAGAATCTAACTTCAGCGAAGGATGTTGCCTGGAGAATATGTTATGAGATTGCCAAACAGGAAAATTATCAAGATTTGGAACAGCAAATGACACTGATGGGATATGCTTTATCATTGTGTCCAAGTGATCAAATTACCGATATTTTAAATTTATGGAGAAAATTAGAAGAACAAAGATCAGCTCGAGCTCTTGAGACCAAAACGAATTTAATGGAAAAATCTGTATCAGAAAAAATCAAGCCAGCTGTAGAACGCGTCGAATCTGTTTTAATGACGCCATTGCTTCAAGGGGATCGTCTCAAAAATTTGGTCAGCAGTTGGTTAGGGTCTGGATTTTCAACTTAAGCTTCCATCAAATTAATATTAATAAGTTAGCTTTGTACATTTAAAAATTTTCATGTAAAAAAAAAATTTTAATGGGAAATAATTTTATTATAATAGTAATAAAAAAATCAAATTCCACCTAACAGTAAGAACACAAGAATAAAATTCTCGTTTTTTTATTACGTTCCAACAGAACCGCCACAATTGCCTAAAATAAAACAGTAAACTTATAAATATTAACCACTTTGAGAAATATTGTAGTGGTATTTCGTCAGTTGAAAACGGTGTCTACATATGCAAAAATTTCATAAATAAACATCCGTAACACGTTCATTCAATAGGTGTTATAGTTCAACTCTCAACGGTTGCTCATTTTCCTGAATGTCGATTTCGCCACAATCAACGATAACTACATCTTCTTTCGGTCGATCATTGCTGCCTTTTTCAACATTTTCAATCAGAAATACAAGATCCATTCCTTCTAATACGTAGCCAAAAACCACATGGCGATTATCAAGCCAAGAAGTTGTAGCGGTGCAAATAAAAAACTAGCGATATCACGTGAGGTTTAACGAATTGGTTAGCAAACGCTTATAATAAGTTATATATTGATATAGAATCAGGAATAATTGTAAAAGTTACATACTTGAGAACCATTCGTGTCCGGACCAGCATTAGCCATACTCACGACACCGTGACCTGTGTGACGAAGTTTGAAATTTTCATCGGGAAATCGGTCCCCATAAATAGATTTTCCACCAGTTCCATCACCCTTAGTAAAATCACCACCTTGAATCATGAAATTCTATAGACAATAAATAAATGTAAGATATTTCAATACCAACCATTCGAAATTATGCTATTTTTAACACTCACCTTAATCACACGATGAAATTTCGATCCCTTATATCCAAAGCCTTTTTCTCCAGTAGCCAGTGCACGAAAATTTTCAACCGTTTTTGGTACAGTCTAAAAATTGAGTAATTGATTAAAAAAAATATCAATAAATTTTTATCAGTATATTACATACCTTGCCATATAATCCTATAACTATACGACCTAGATCCTTATCACCATGCTTGATATCAAAATATACTGAATTTTGTGATAAATTTTAATAAAATGAGTATTTTGTATGTAGTTCGTAAACATTATACAGATTTGCGTTACCTTTATTAGTAATAATTGGACCTTTTGCTGCAGTTACAACCGTCAAAAAGAGTAAAAAAATACTAAATAACGACAATAGGGCACTTCGGTTGATTAGAGATGCCATTTTATAAAAAAAAAAAATTGTTCTCAAACATTCAATGGATCGGAGGCGAAATTTAAATTAGTCGGAAATTAAACTAACCAAGTGAGTTACCATTTTCGATGAGAGTAATGGTCCGAATCGGTAAAAATTTTCTTTTAGATTATTTGGTGTCACATGTTTTTAATAATTCTGCAATTTGATTTGTTAACCTTATCATAGATTAGTTAGCGGTTAGGGATTCACGTATTCTGCTATTACTATTCCCTAAGCTCTGTCCGTAGAATTCCCGATTGTACAATATATAGTTGATAGGCGATACCTTTTCCACATGATGACAAAGATGAAACTTCCGGCGAAAGATGAAATCTAAATCAAATGACGAAACCTTGAATCCTAAATTCAAAATGACAAAACTCTAGTATTCTCGTTATAAAAAAAAAAGCAGATACTGATGACCTACCAAATGGCAAAGTTTTGGCAAAAAAGCAAATAAATATAAACAAATCTAAGCTATTAATAAAATAAAACTAAGACTTATATTTAAAAACATGATTTAATAATTGGGGCTTTTTTATAATGCTGGGGATGTTATTTGCTTGACCCGGCTTGTATAAAAAAAGCCAATTACAAGAATTATAAATAGTCAAATAAGCCATTAACATCTCAAATATTTAAATAAATAAATTGAATAAATATAGATGTATTAATGAATTATCAGATTCAAAGTTTTTTCCATTATAAAATTTAAATTTTAATAACTAAGATTTGTTGAGTAGTATGTTATAAAATGAAAGAATGTAAGAATTTATTTATATATAATACTATATTATCATAGCTTAGCTCTGAATTTACATCCTTGTAGTAACAAAGCTACATAATAAGGTAGCTGCGCAACTACCAGGAACGGATGAACCAATGAATTTATATATTATCCGGAATTTTTTTGTAATTCGAGAATAGCTAAACAGCTAAATTGTTTTCATAAATTTGTGTCTAAACAAATGCTACATTGCATTGATCTGATATATTAGCAGCTATTCATTTTCTGATTTCACAATGAATACGTTACCAAATATATAATGAGTTTTGGGTCAAAATCCTGACAAACAGAATCCTACTTGTCAGGGTTTTGACCTTTTCGGGATTTTGTTTGTCGGGATTTTGATCCAAATCCACAAATAATGTGATATCTCGAGAACAGATGTCTTTTTTAATGGCTTTTGATTTAAATGAGTACTTCTAATCTTAGCATTCATTTAAGATCAAAACAGTATAGCTACCCTTAAATTACCTTACATGATGGATGATGATTTTCTTTTTGTTATTCGATTTGGAACTGGTGGTTCGTTTCTTCATCTTTTTGTTAGTTTCGTTTCCATTTGCAGTTTCGTCAATTTGTCATTTAAGATTTTAAATGACGAAAAACATTTTTTACAGGGGAATTCCCAAATTTCCGGGTCGTGATGGCCGGAATGCGTCGGGTTAGCGTTAGCGCGGGATCTATAGTAAAATTATCAGCTGGGCATTTTTTGCTTAATGAACGACTAGTAAAATTCTTAGTGATCTTGGGCAAAATTGATCAATTCCGGCCCATCCGACCAGGTTTCGGAACGATTACACAAAAACATTATTATAATATTATAGAATAATGTATATATATACTGTACAATACATATTGATATAATGTATCAATATTAAAACCATAACCTTCATTAGTAATAACTTCAATAATAAATTTGGCACACTATTTATACATATTTATTGTCGCGGATCATAATGAAATGAAAATGAGGGTTTTTATTTAATCTTTAAAACCCACTTACACTTACTGTATTTATTCGAAATTTTACCCTAAAACTAACCTCTAACCCTAAAAATGCATCTTAAAACTTTTTATTTTTCGGTGGCCTGTCTATTTCTTATACTAATTTTTAACAAGATAAAATGTTTGAAAAGAAAATTTAAACATTACCTGACATTGAAACTTTAGCCATTTATAACTCAAGCAGATAGGTGGGTTCATTTGTAACTTAGTGGATTTTTCAATAATTTTAAAAAAAAATTAAATTAAATAGCCAATAAATTTATTTGTAAATTATTAATGATCTTCTACAAATTTGAAAATATTCTTGAATAAAATAAAATAGTTTATGCTATATATAAGTGATATCAATTTTAGCTTAGGTTTAGTTTTTATATATATATTTAAATAAACTTTGTAATTTCTTATATATTAATACACATATAGTACTATAGTCACTCTTTCTGACGATCACTTGGACAAAATTTTTTGACGAAAAGAAAAGCCTATTTTTGATACTGGAGAGTAGTAGCCTGTAGTGAGGTGACTTCAACAGGGCAGTTTTTATAAAGGTTAACCTTTTTGCTATCTTGGGGACTTCTTTATATATTCGACATGCAAGCCAAAAGCATCTGTATACAAGATAACTGGCAAAAGATAGTGCCCTTGTATACAAAATTTTGGTGGATAGGTGGAGGTGATAGAAGTCCAAGCCTTCTATTGACAAAGCTATCAGTTGCGAAACAACTGGGGAACAGTAAAGAACGGGCTTCTCTTAAGCTACACACTTTTTTTCTGGCCAAGTGGTGCCTACTATCTTTTTTTCACCTCCCTGCCTTTCTTCCAAAATTTTTCGATAAAAAGTGGGGATTTGGCTTATCTTCTCCAAAAGATCGGCATTGTTTACTGCGCAG